CACCCTAGGCCTGCGCGACCAGGCATTAACTGTTCTGGAAGCTCTCGGTAAGGAATTGACTTACGAGCAGCTCCTTGAGGCATTGGAGGCGAGATATGGCGACGCTCACCTGGAACACGTCTTTCGTGCGCAGCTCAAAGATCGCGTGCAACGCAGTAACGAAAACCTGCAGCAGTGGGCCCTTGAGGTGGAGAAGCTGGTTCGAAAAGCGTACCAGTCTGTACCTGCGCTCATTGTAGGGAACCTGGTGCAGATATTCATCGACGGCATCCGCGACCTTGAAGTCAGAGCTGCTGTGAGGCTCGGGCACCACGAGACGCTTAAGGACGCCTTGACCCATGCACTGGAGGTGGAAGCCGTGCGGCAGGATCATCGTTCCCACCGCGTCAGGGAGGTTGCAGCAGCTACAGTTCAGGACCGCAATAAGGGCTACAGCCCTAGGTGCTACGGCTGTGGGGAAAGGGGCCATCTTCGATCCAGCTGCCCTAAACGAACTGTAGAAAGGGAAGGTGATCGATATCGAGAGGGTAGTGTGGCTGACAGCACCGCCCAGCAACAGCAGGGAAACTGGCGGGTGCTGGCTGATGTTAAAAGAGCCCCAAGGATTTCGATCTCACAAACCCATGATGGGAACAGCCTAATCATCAAGGGCGAAGTCAACGGAACGCCGTGTAAACTGACCATAGACACTGGAGCCTCTCGCACGGTTGTCAGTTCCCAACTTATAAGTCGGTTCCTTGGGGACTCCGCATACAACCGAGAACGCATTAATTTGGTGACAGCCACCGGTCAGCGCATACCCGTCCGTGGAGAGAAGGAGATGGAGTAGAAGCTAGGCAACATGATCTACCTGCATAATGTCATTGTGGCTGATATAATGGACGACTGCATCCTGGGCCTAGACTTTATGAGGAAGAATTGTTGTGAGATCGACGTTAAGCAAGGTGTTTTGAAATGTGGACAAGAGGAACTTTTCGTGGAAGGGGCGTTACCAGGGAATGTGTACAGCCTTAAGAAGATTGTTCTTCCGCCGAGATCGGAAACGATTGTGCCGGTTAGACTTCCACGGAATCCTGGGCAAACTCTTCGTTGTGTACTCGTGGAAAGGGTAGACAATGACCTTCCATGGAAAGTGGCTCGAACCTTGGTCAGAACCGCCGACATCTCAGGAGTACGTGTGCTGAACCTTTGTGATCAGGAACAGATTATAGAAAAAGGCACATTGGTTGGTACTAGTGAGGAAGTGGATTGGTTGCGTCGGTGCGAATATCTATCTACTGGGACCCCCAGCAAGGATGGACAAACTAGAGTGACCACACTTTTAGAAGACTGTCGCAGCGTTCTCTCCCCGAATGAAACGGTCAAAGCGAAGAAGTTGTTACTCAAGTACGCCAATGTTTTCTCGTCAAACGAAGCTGACATAGGAAAGACTAGCTTAGTTCAACACAAAATAAACACAGGACAAGAATTGCCTATTCGTCAGCGGCCAAGAAGATTGCCTGTAGCACGTGAAAAGGAAGTGGAAACCATGATTGAGGGAATGGTGAAGGATGGTGTTATTGAACCTTCATCTAGTCCATGGTGTTCACCTGTGGTGCTGGTAAAGAAGAAGGACGGCAGCATGCGGTTTTGTGTTGACTACCGCCGCCTGAACGACGTTACAAAGAAGGACAGCTATCCCTTGCCAAGAATTGATGACACGCTGGACATGCTTACAGGCGTAAAGTGGTTTAGTACGCTGGATCTGAAAAGTGGCTACTGGCAGGTTGAAATTGACCCTAAGGACAAGGAGAAAACTGCATTCTCCACAGGAAAGGGCCTGTGGCAATTTAAAGTCATGCCGTTTGGATTGTGCAATGCTCCAGCAACGTTTGAAAGGTTGATGGAGCTTGTACTTACCGGGCTAATTGGAGATGCCTGTCTCGTCTATTTGGATGACATCATCATCGTAGGCCGTACGTTTGAGGAACACCTTCAAAACCTGGAACGCGTGCTCATGAAGATCCAGAGTGCCAACCTCAAGTTGAGTCCAAAGAAGTGCTCACTATTCAAACGGCAAGTTAGTTTTTTGGGGTATGTAGTGTCGGAAGAAGGTATCCGCACGGATCCAGAGAAAATTGCTGCTGTCAAGGAGTGGCCGGTCCCATAAGACAAGACACAGGTTAGAGCATTTTTGGGTTTGTGCTCTTATTATCGGCGATTTGTGAAGAACTTTGCAGATATAGCCAAACCTCTGCACAAGCTAACCGAGGAGAAGCGACAATTCTGCTGGGATGAAAGTTGCGATATTGCATTCCAGGAGCTCAAGAACCGTCTGTGCAAAACACCTATTTTGGGGTATCCTGATGCGGGCAAGGAATTCATAGTTGACACAGACGCAAGTGATATAGGACTTGGCGGTGTGTTGTCTCAACGGAATGGTGATCAAGAGATTGTGATAGCGTACTTCAGCAAGTCGTTGTCAAAGCCGGAAAGGAACTATTGTGTCACAAGACGGGAATTGCTTGCTGTGGTAAAGTCCTTGCAGCATTTTAGCAAATATCTTCTAGGGCGGAAATTCCACTTACGAACTGACCATGCTGCACTGAAATGGCTATTGCAGTTCAAAAATCCGGAAGGACAAGTTGCGAGATGGATAGAACTACTGCAGGAATACGACTTTGTGATCGAACATCGCAGCGGGAAATCTCATGGCAATGCAGATGCATTGTCAAGAAGACCTTGCCCTGAAGATTGCAAGCATTGTACTAGGCAAGAGGGTAAGGAAGTGGTATCTGTGAGAATGCTCAGGACAGACCAGCTCAGCAATGAGTGGAAGGACAGCCTACAACATGCACAGCAGGAAGATTCGGACATTAAGCCGATTCTGGAATGGATGAAGGCCAGTGCTCCTAAGCCCAAGTGGAGCGACGTCTCAGCAATGAGTTCGACCACGAAAAGCTATTGGGCCCAATGGGACAGCTTGCTGATTCAGGATGGAGTCCTGTGCCGTAAATGGGAAAATGGTCGGGGAGACAGGTGTCATTTGCAAATGGTTGTCCCTAAGGCTAAAGTGCCGGATATTCTACAGCTGTACCATAGTGGTTGTTCAGGAGGCCACCTGGGAGTTAAACGAACTCTCCTGAAGATCCGAGAACGGTTTTACTGGGTCCACTGTCGTGACGATGTCGAGGGCTGGTGCCGCAAATGTACAAGTTGTGCGGCTGTAAAGGGACCTCAAATTCGTAGTAGAGGCGCATTGAAATTGTACAATGTTGGTGCACCATGGGAGAGGATAGCCATTGACGTTGCGGGGCCGTTTCCAGAAACTGAAAGTGGTAACAAGTATTTCATGGTAGTGATGGATTACTTCACTAAGTGGCCAGAAGTCTTCGCCATTCCAAATCAAGAAGCTTCAACAGTTGCAGATAAACTAGTTCATGAAGTCTTCTGTCGTTTTGGAGTACCCTTAGAGATTCACAGCGATCAAGGAAGGAATTTTGAGTCTCAAATATTCCAGGAAACTTGCCGAGTTATGGGTACTCAGAAAACACGAACAACTTCTTACCACCCACAATCTGATGGAATGGTAGAAAGATTTAATCAGACATTGGAGAGGTACCTAGCAAAAGTTGTGGAAAAACGGCAACGAGACTGGGACAGGCACATACAACCGTTTTTGTTGTCATATCGAAGCGCTGTTCACGAAAGTACATCAGTGACACCAGCTTTCGCAAACTTTGGGAGAGAATTGCGGCTGCCTGCAGACCTGATCACCGGAATACCACCTGATGCCCCACGCAGTATAACCGATTATGCAAATGACTTGCGGAACAAAATGAATGACATTTATGAGCACGTCAGACAGACGGGCCAGCAAACGTCTGAGAAGATGAAAACACGGTATGACCGCAAAATGAACAACAAGGGCTTTGATGAAGGTTCACTAGTGTGGTTACACAATTCAGTTCGCAGCAAAGGGAAATCTCCTAAGCTTCAAGCTAAATGGGACGGACCGTACCGGATTGTGACAAGGATCAATGATGTAACCTACCGGATACAGAAAGGTGCCAGAGGTACTCCTAAGATTGTCCATGTGGATCGACTGGCGCGTTATTATGGGGCCAATAATGCTCGGGACGAGCATGTCTTAGGAGGGGGCAGTGTTACGCGCCACTATTAATGTCTTGTACATGGCAACACTAGTTACACTAGCGCCCCCTAGTGTCGAGTAAATGAAAGTATTGCGCGCCACTATTAATGTCTTGTACATGGCAACACTAGTCACACTAGCGCCCTCTAGCGTCGAGTAGCAGAACTAGGAGAGTCGTGATCCTTCCAGAAATTTCGGGACCGATATGTACTCGAACATTCTCGATGTCGCTACAGTAGAAGGTTCTGGAAACTATCTGAGGCCCTATATAAGGCCGGTATAGACCACGACCGGGGCAGTATTGAATTGGCGATACAAGAGAATACTCCGAAGCGAAATAACGGCGAACTGTGTTTTATTATTAGTGTGATTTTAGATTGTAATTAGTGTTGTGTAATTAAAGTGTCAATTTTGGTAATTCAATCGGCAGTTTTTAATTGTCTCGAATCCCAAGCTCGTAACAATATATTCACCGGGAAAAAACTTTGACATTGAGTTCTCGTTTTTAAGCAATAATCGATAATATAAAAAGCATGTTATCAATTAGATTCTTAATCAACTACATTTTTATTTGAATCATTTATATCCTGATAGTGAGCAGTTTTCAAATAAAGTAACTTTTTGTCCACCGAATGTTGCACACTTACTTCGTGTACGTTTACTTATGTAGGTGTTTACGTAACGTACAAGAAACTATGAATTAGTAAATGTAACCGGAGACCTTTTTTTACTGGAAACGAGGCTTTCCATCTTAGTCCTCAGGGTTGATAACCGCATCTCCATTTTGATACCTAATCTAGGGTAAATGTAGATGTCACAGCATCCACTTACCGTGAAGTGAAAAAAAAAAAGATTTATTTTTGTGTACCTTTATTCTTCAAGCACTCGTGATACTGCAAGGAGAAAGATTCAATATTCGCTTGGAGGCTACGGATCTCTTCACTTGCCATGTTCACCTTCTGGCGCACGTTCTGCAGGCCGGTTATGAGCTGGAATAGAGAAATACACAGATTAATCAATAATTCACACAACTATCAGAAAGATCTCGGAAAGATCTAGTAAGATTTTTTTGTATAGAATAGTGACAAATGAGCACACAGTCCACCTGATTGTAAGTGGATTCTGTGGTCCATAGACATCTACATTTATCCTCGATTAAGAACCAAAATGCAAATACGTAGTCATCCCTGGAGACTAGGATAGAATAAAAAGACTCCAGTTTTTATACAATCTCCATATGAAACACAGCAGCATCAAGCTGCTATTCTGTAAGAGCGTGGTCCTTCCCCGGTCGTGCCGATCCATTCGTGCTACAACCATAATATAGCTGCAGCGTGGCTCTCCCTTTCGAAGATCTCACGGCTTCAGATTCATGGCGGTATCAGTCTAGCAGTGGACTAATTAAGAAGACAACCATTAATCATTAGCCATTACCGCATACCAAAAGCTGCTGAACATAGGTCCCCCCACTGATTGCTTCATAGGGGCAGCTTTTTTATACGGTCAGCGGTGAAGCACCATGTCTGAGATTCTTATGTCATAGTCATGCACTGTCCGCATCCTTACTTGTTTGAACAATATAACACTCACCTCACTGTACTTTCTCTCGGTATGTGGTTGAGCGACGTACGGCGTTCCCATCGCATTCTGTATCACTTCCATTTCAAGCGCCAAGCAACGCCGGAGGTATGCGTATAGCTTATGCGGCTCGTGGCTGGTCAAAACACAAATATTATATTAATACTTGAACAACAAAAATTTTGTTTTTATAGAATAAAATGTTTTAAAGGGCCGTGGTAGCTTAGATGGTTAGCGCTCGCTGTAAGTTTCACAGTACGCGAGCAACCCGGGTTCGATCCCCGCCGGCACCAATGAAATTGTTAATTGCAATTTTAAGTGCTGATTTACCACGTGCTAGGCGGTTAAGGAAAACATCGTGAAGAAACCTGCATGTCTGAGAAATAAGAAAAAAAATATTTCGAAGACGTGGAGTTCGCCAACAAGCATTGGGGCAACGCGGCGTACATTTGCTCGCTCTAAAGCCCTCTCAGGAATGAGAGGAGGCCTGTGCCCAGTGGTGGGGACGTATATAGGCTGTGACTTTTTTTTAACTTTAGAATAAGGGTGACAAACAAGGACACAGTTTAAAGAACTAACAGTTATGAAACGCCTTTGATGTCAGGCGATGCCGCCGCCCGCATAGGTATTTACTATTTACGTCGTGGTACTTATTATATATTAAAATTAGTTAAAAAAGTACTAATAAACATACTCGCGCCAACCGCATGTATTGTAAATTATATAGCAGACTCAGTGAAGTGCGCTAGCACTAGGTCGGCCCGCCCCCGCCCCGCAAGGCCCCCACCGTTGCTCTGCACAAGTACATTAGTTTCACAAATGTTAGACTCTCTTTAAACTGTGGTTTAACTAAAAAAAACCGTTCATCATTTGCCATAGTTGCCATTAAGTCAGGAAAAAAAATATAGTGTACATACACACATGAATTTTCCAGACAAAACACTTTACACCAATTAAATGGCGACCAGACGCGATTCTAATAAAGTAACGCTCACCAGATGTAGCTAGTTTGGGAAAAAGGTTGTTACGTTACCATGCAAATGGTCACACAGTGTCATCATCATAAGTCTTTTGGTTTCTGGTGTAAGTATTTACACAAAACAATGCCACTTTTTCTATATTTAACACATTTTGAATTTTTTTTTAATTCCTATACTTTTAGGAATTTAGTCATTAATCTCTAAACTTTTCAAATAAACTAACTTCCCCCGCTATGAATTCTGTCAAATATTACACCTCTGAAAAATGCGTGGTTGCTATTATTTTAATGGAATTTTTAGTGTGTTTGTGCTATTAGACCCGGTAGATGGCGATGTTGTCAAGATCCAGAAATTACCCGTGCGAAGACGGGGCGGATCGCTAGTATAATATAAAAACCAACCTGTACTGCACATGGAAGTTCTTGGCGGCTTCTATCAGCTTCATCTTGGTGACGAACATCTCCGGGGACAGCATGAGGTCCGCGTTGGTCTGGATCTCTTGCACCAGTTCCTCCACGAAAAACCTCTGCTGCTCCTCCGGTTCCGAAGTCCTTACAAAGAATATTTAAAAACAAAATCAACAGCATGTAAACAACACGGTCTCTTAGCAATTCTAGAATAATCCACAATCATTAGCATAACCTAGATGAGTCGGAGCGGACAGCCCCACCCCTATGTTAAGGCGATCATCGTTAACTTTACAGCCCCTTTAAAAAAAGAGGTCACGAAATCCATTATATACAATACTGATTGTTTTGAATGTAGGATGAAGCGACGTTCCCACCGTCAACAATCCTCTTTGTCGCCGAGTGGTTAAATCTATTTCCTTAATTTTGATAGTGACAAACGAGCTAGCTATCTGAGGGTAAGTAGGTATTGTGCAGCGCATGGACATCTCGCAAGCAACCTCAAGGGAAAAAGGCAGCATACAGATGCATTGTCACCGAAGAATAAATACACAAAAGTGCCTTTCTAGACATATTCTTAAATCGAAAAGGAGGACTTCCACGTCGCAATATAAATTAATGTTAACCAATCACTTACCATATCCTGCTTTCAATCCATGTCGCGAGACAGTGACGGACTTCAATCGGGAAGTGATCTCCATAGATGGCCCTTACCTATTGACAAAATTAATAACATTTAGTATCCCTATTGACTATTCGTAAGCTTTCGATAAGGTCTGACGTTGGGGACTTTTGGCCGAAATCAAAAGTTTATTTCCTCACGCAAATTACGAGATTCTTAACATATAATACTACTTGTTGGATAAAATTGTTTAAAGTAAAGCATAGTGAATATGCTTTAGAAATCAATGAAGTAAATGGGGATGCGCCAAGGATCGGTTTTGGGACCAGTTCTGTACGAAATATTGATAGTGAAACCGAGCCGTGAGCAACTCATACAAACTCGACTTTAGGTCACGACTTAATGTTGATTTCATTATTATTTATGGTTTTCTATAGGTATTAACAATTGTAGAAAGTCCGGACAGCCGTGGTAGCACTGGGACTGAGCACTCGCTGTAAATTTCACAGTACGCGAGCAACCAAGCATCGATCCTTACCAGTACTAATAAAATTGTTAATTACAATTTTAAGTGCAGATTTAGCATGTACTCTGTGGTGAACGAAAAAGCTTGAGAAAACCTGCATCTGAGGATTAAAAATACTTCGAAGACGTGTAAAATATGCAAACACGTTCCGAAGCAACGCAACTGACTAATTGTTCCATAACACACTCAGAAATGAAAGAAAGCCTGTGCCCAGCAGGAGGTACATAGGCTGTAATTTCAACCTTACGGTGATTTACTGTAAGGTGTCGTTTTGAGAAAATCCAATGCATCATCCAGTACTATGGCGTGGATGTCATAGAACTTAACTTTTTTATACAACCGTAATGGCAAAGTGATGTTGGTAGTCCACCTGAGGGTATGTGGTTACTGCAGTCCATGGACATCTGCAGGCAACTTCAAACTGTTGTTATCTGTGATAGATGCATTGTCACCCCTGAGGACTAAGATGGAATGCCTACAGCCTGTAATTACAATGGGTCTCTAAACCCTACAGACGGAAGCACAGCTGTGTAAGCACAGTGCAGTGGTTATCCTACCCAGACTGACTTATAGGCAAAAAGGTGCCCTATCACTCAGTGAAACAACTTCAAAGAAACAGAAACAAATTGTGTCATCCCACAAATTGGGTATATTTATTTCGAAAAAAAAACCAGTCTTAGGCCGGTCACATACATACGGATTTTTTTTATAGGATAGGGTGACAAACGAGCACACAGTCCACCTGATGGTAAGTGGTTGCTGTGGCCCATAGACATCTACATCTATCCTCGTTTGCGAATCAAAATGCAGATGCGTTGTCACCCGTGAGGACTAAGATGGAATGCCTCATTTCCAGTAAAAACGGTCTCCGGTTCTCTACATTCACCAGACGAAACACAGCAGTGTTAAGCTGCTATTTTACGCTGGTATTCTGCGAGAGCGTGGTCCTTCCCCGGTCGAGCCAACCCATTTATGCTACAACTATACTACTAATATAGCTGCAGCATGGCTCTACCACGTATGAATTCGGTTTCGGAATTCCGATTCGGGCTTCCGTTAATGCATCACACACATACGTTTATTTCAGTTCAGAATAACAAAGGTCATTTGAGAGACGTTAGCCATTGAGTCTAGACATTCTGCCAGCGAATAATGACGACGATTTTCTGATTGCGATTCCATTGTTGCTGTATCATTGTTACTAGAGACGCTAGCACCCCCTTATCACCCTAAGCTTGCAATATAGTCAATACCATAACATTGATCTTCATCAAAAGATCTATCTATCCAGAGATATTTTTTTAAATATGAATGTCTGTAAACTCTTTTGACGAATTATTAAATGTAATAAGATGAAAGGTTACGAAAAGCTATATACACATATAAGATTAAATGTAAAAACATACATAAACACACATACTCGCTTCGGTCGTGCGACGAACACTGAGCGCGTTCCGTAAGGAATTTACAAATGTGTGTTGCGACTTATACAAAATCTATGGAAGACTTGGGTTCGGAGCGGCTTTTTTCCGTTCAGGATTCCGAACGCATAGGCGGTAATACGGAATCTCGAATCGGAGAAAATTCTGTACGGAAAATTACCGTACGTGTGTGGCGGCTCATAGATTTTATATGGACTTGCTGCTTTCGGAACCCCGAATCGGAATATCAAAACGGAATCCCGAAACGGAATTCCGTATGTATGTGGCCGGCCTTAAAACCCCCAGTGCTGCAAAAGGGAACAGCACCAAATATATGAGTCTTCTGGTACTGGAGCTAATCCACCTGCCAGGCATAGCATAAAGGTAAATCCTAAAAGTCTATATTTCTGTTTATGGACCAATGGGGAGATATTTATGTGTACATACCTGCTGCAGACTTTCTTGGGGGAGCTGCTGAGCTCTAGCCCAGAGGGACATGGTGATTCTGAAAATAAAATCACATTAGCTTAAAATTATCAGTAAGCGAGGCATGTGCAATTTATTTGTTTATCTACAGTTACCTAATGGTGACAGAGATGGTAATCCATAACTGCCTACTAAAAGACCACTGCCTCCTCATAGATTGCCTCACAAGAGGGATATTTGACATTGTTGCCATGCTTGGCAGGTAGGTTGGCAATCGCAGTTTTTCATCATTTATCCATTACTAGCTGGGCAGGCAGTACATCTATCTTTGATTAAGAATCAAAATGCAGATGCGTTGTCACCCGTGAGGACTAAGACGGAATGCCGCGTTTTCAGTAAAAAGGGTCTACGGTTCTTTAAACTCACCATACGAAACACAGCAGCATTAAGCTGCTATTTTACGCTGGTATTCTGTGAGTGTGGTCCTTGCCAGATCCGACCCATTTGTGTTACAATTAAGCCAGTAATATAGCTGCAGCATGGCTCTACCACGTAAACATTTACATTAAATCATTCTATTTATAGATTGGTATTAATTATATAATAATGAGCTAAACACTAATACAGATACTGGAACGGACATCCGAAAACAAAGATAACACCAGACACAAAAACCTACATAAAACAGAATAGCATAGAATAAAATATAAAATAGTCTTTTAACCTAGATTATAAGAAGCATTAGTTACTAAAAGTCAAATCTATTTTACCACTTGATTAGAATAAAACCTTTATAGTGGGTGGCACCTAGTTTCAGTTCGATTTTACAATAATATGTTTAACTAGCTGATACCCGCGACTTCGTCCACGTTGCTTGATATATGAACAAAGTTTTCGTATGTGCACAGGAAACAACATCAAAAAAATTTAATGCAAAAATATACTTTGCATAAAATTTTTTTTTTATAGGATAAGGGTGACAAACGAGCACACAGTCCTCCTGATGGTAAGTGGTAGTTGTGGCCCATAGACATCTACATTTATCCTCGTTTGCCAATCAAAATGCAGATGCGTTGTCACCCGTGAGGACTAAGATGGAATGCCTCATTTCCAGTAAAAAGGGTCTCTGGTTCTCTACACTCAACATATGAAACACAGCAGTGTTAATCTGTTATTTTACACTGGTATTCTGTGAGAGTGTGGTCCTTCCCCGGTCGAGCCGACCCATTCATGCTACAGCTATATATACTAATATAGTTGCAGCATGGGCCTACCATGTAAAAAAAAATTGTAAACAATGTTATTCGTTGCATATAATGTTCACTGAACATGTAGTGCTTATAAAAGTCGTTGTTGCTTAAAACTTTAATAACTTTATAATTAATGAAGATATTGCAATAATTTTTTTTTTTTTTAGATAAGGGTCTTGTCTAAGAAATACTTTAAATAACTTAGACAACCTTGAAAATTGAAATCTATCCAGAAGTTTTTCCATAGTGTGCGCACAACTGCAAACATTTTATTTATATAGATAAGATAAATCTGGGGATTTCAATCAGTCCTAGACACAGGTCCCGACACTCCTTTTTATCTAAGTGTTTGAGGGCAAGGAGTATCCACTGAGATGCCTCCATATGTATTGACAGACATCACATTCCTTTAAATTATTTTAACTGCCCTGACATGCAGGTTTCCTCACAATGTTTTACTTCACCGTGGAGCATATAGTTAATCACAATCGCAATTAATTTTGGGATCAAAACGGGGTTGTTCGCATACTGTGAAATTTGCAGCGAGTGCTTAGCTCTAGAACTACCAAGCTACCATGTTTCATTAATGCTATAATAATTCTTCTTATTAAGTTTTCCAGATCAATATTCCATCCTAGCTGGCACCTGGCATGCTGCTGCCACTGAGTGTAGAGTACTGTAGTGTACTTTTTACAGGAATAGAGGCATTCCATCTCAGTCCTGAGGGGTGACAATGCATCTGTACTTTGATTCTTTATTGAGGATAGATGTAGATGTCTATGGGTCACAAGAGCCACTTACCATCAGGTGGACTGTGCGCTCGTTTATTGCCCTGTCCTATAAAAAAATGTATAAATAATTTTCAAATAAATTTGTGCGCACCACCCATAGTAAGTTATATGTACTATGCCTGGGCTAAACATCTCGGCACGTCGGAATCACTCCCCAAAGTTGCATGCAACATCAAAGTGCTGTTAAGCTTCTTCGGGGAGATCTCGTGGCTTGAATAATTACATTATTCCTGCCTACACGCAAAATACGCGCATAGACGTGGAGTTGCGGAAAACAGCCCGTCGTAAACTAAAATGTTATATGCCTATAACCTTCGCACAAATACAAGTAATAAGTTCACAAAGGTTTCTTAGCATTTAGATGAATGTTATGGCAGCACCAAAAAATATGAACAAACAAAAATTATTATATATTAGATTACATAAAATTTTCAGACAATGTGTGTTCACAGTTTATTTTATTATGTTGCCCATCTCTTGTTTCAGTTTGTTATTTACCCATTTCATAATATTACACCACCACTACACAGAAATATGCCATTGTGCTATAGTATATATATATATATATATATATATATATATACAACGTGTCCCGTGTATATATTCAACGATAAGCCAACACCGGAGGATAGACCTGCCCGGACTAATCGGGTAAAAAAAGAAAAAAAAATATATCCCAATTATATTTTAAGTTATATAAAAAAAAATGAAATTCTTCAGAAATTGAGACCGTTTATGATATTTTTCACTACCATGACCACAATTTTTTAAATATTTTTTTCTTTTTTTTTTATAGGCAACCTGAATAGTACTGCTATCTACCACAATTCTTAAAAACTCCAGAATAACTCTTGTTTTATCACGAAAATTAATGAAACTTATTTTATTCCCTAAATTTTTTGAAGACTTTTACTTTTAACCAAATTTAACTTATCGTGGTGTAAAAAAAAAGTATGAACACTAGTATGGCAAGTTTTTTTAAAAATTGACGCAACTAACCAATATTCCAAAATGGTATAATACTCTAGGAAAACAAGTTATAAAAAAATATGGGCCTATTATTTCTTAACAGGGGCCAAATGACGGTCGGGTGTAATAAAAGTATTATTTCTTGAACAATGTTTAATATTTCAAAACAAATGGTACAAACAGTTTCACGTGTAATTTATTAAGTTATTAACATTATAGCAAATGTTCGAACTGTTTGCCACCAGCATTAATACATGCACGACATCGCCTTAAAAATGATCGTTTTATTTGTCTTGCATATCTTCTGCTATTAATGTAATCAGCAGCCTGAGTGATATTTCGACGAAGCTCGTCCAATGTCACAATGGGTTTTGAGTAGACCCTGTTTTTAAGACAACCCCAATAGAAGAAGTCCAGGGGGTTCAAATCGGGTGAACGGGGTGGCCATAAGATAGGACCAAGTCGCCCGATCCAACGCCCTGGATACTCTTGATTTAAATATTCTCGCACAGGACGGGCATAATGTGCTGGGCAACCATCATTTTGGAACCACATGTTTTGAAGATCACTTAAGGGCACGTCGTTTAACAATTCTTGCAAGTCATTTTGTAAAAAGTTTAAATAACTATTGCCATCTAAGTTTGCTTGTAACTCAAAGGGTCCAATTATTTTTCCATTTAATATGCCGGTCCATAGGTTAACCTTGAATTGATATTGGGATTTGTCTTGTCTCATCAAGTGTGGATTTTCATTACTCCAACTATGTAGATTGTGAAGATTTAAATACCCATCTTTCTTGCACGTTGTTTCATCCGACCATAGAATTTTGTCTAGGAAGTGGGGATCTTCACTGTGCCTTTGCAGCATTACACGGCAAAATGTGACCCGTAGCGGATAGTCCCGCGGTAATAACGTCTGCACACGCCTGTAGTGATATGGGTGAAGCTTGTGACGTTTTAATATTCGATGTGCAGAACTTTTCGGGATTCCTGTAGCTTCTTCTATGGCACGTACCGAAGTAGTCGAGTCATTTTCTATCTCCTTGAGAACTTCTTCATCACGATCCAATCTAGGTCTTCCAGCGCTGCTCCTATTGGATGGCATACGACCCTCCGAAAACGCTTGATGCACATTAATAAACACTCGATAATCAGGATATCTTTGAGCATTTGGGTATCTTTCTGGATACAGTCTGCTAGCAGCGTTAGCATTACATCTGCATTCTCCATAGATTAAATGCATATTAGCATATTCCTGTGGTGTGTACGGTTGCGGCATGTTAAACGCCAAACAGTCCAAAATGCGCCAGAACTCTAAATCACAAAACACACAATCGTAGTCCAAGATAATGCCAGGTCAGTTCAGTTTGCAGATCACTTCCAGTCCAAATAATGCCAGGTCAGTTAAGTTTGCAGGTCGATTCCAGTCCAAAAAGCCAAGCCAAAAGTCGATAGTATGTACGAGGGCCACGTAAGTTGAATTGGGTACGGTGCGCAGTAAACAAAGGAGCAGAGCGTACTGAACCGACTTGCTGAGAATAATAACAGCTTCTCTACCTGCCCTGTTATTGTCTCTTTTTAACGTAAATATCTCTATCTATCTATCTCTCTCTAACATCTAAGGTATTAATGCCCCATTCGAATTCCTAGAAATTGTAACAGGAACCCATTTTGGGCATGTAGTAAAAGTGATTACTGACAATTACAATTTAAGGAATTTGGCCCCTGTTAAGAAATAATAGGCCCATATTTTTTTATAACTTGTTTTCCTAGAGTATTATACCATTTTGGAATATTGGTTAGTTGCGTCAATTTTTAAAAAAACTTGCCATACTAGTGTTCATACTTTTTTTTTACACCACGATAAGTTAAATTTGGTTAAAAGTAAAAGTCTTCAAAAAATTTAGGGAATAAAATAAGTTTCATTAATTTTCGTGATAAAACAAGAGTTATTCTGGAGTTTTTAAGAATTGTGGTAGATAGCAGTACTATTCAGGTTGCCTATAAAAAAAAAAGAAAAAAATATTTAAAAAATTGTGGTCATGGTAGTGAAAAATATCATAAACGGTCTCAATTTCTGAAGAATTTCATTTTTTTTATATAACTTAAAATATAATTGGGATATATTTTTTTTTCTTTTTTTACCCGATTAGTCCGGGGCAGGTCTATCCTCCGGTGTTGGCTTATCGTTGAATTTTGGGACACGTTGTATATATATATATATATATATGACTTACCCTTAATATCTCCGTTTTATAGTTTAGCAATTTCCTGCAGTGTCGATCTGAAAAGAACACAAGTGGTAAAATTAAAATTTTGTACAACCGTTGTGAATTGTTGTTAAGGTCAGAAGTTGATCAAATTGGGGGACTATAATATATATGGGACCACATGAGAAGCACCAACTTTCAAATAAAAAAAGAATCATCAAAATCGGTACACGTACAAAAAAGCTATGAGGTAACACACATTAAAAAAACGTACAGTCGAATTAAGTATCTTCTCCTTTTTGAAGTCGGTTAAAAATACAATTTTACTCCCATAATTTTTACGCTTTGTCTCAGTGTTCGTGCCACTTTTCTTCCTAGGAGTATATATGGGGTAGCTACCACCTCTTCCCCCACCAACCAGTAGTGCTTGCACTGATTTGTGTCAGTCTCAAGGATATGGACAGCCAGTGTAAATAGAAGCTATGAGGCATTCCATCTTAGTTCATTCATCTTACTTTTATATGTGGTAGAGCACAAATGGGTCGGCTCGAAAGGGGAAGGACCACACTCTAACATAATCATCATCATCATCATTACAGCCCTTCACAAGTTCACTGCTGAACATAGGCCTCCCCCAAGGAATGCCACAAAGCAACATGTGAGAATGCTTTGTTCCATTCTCTCAGAATACCAGCACACACAGAACACTCGCGTAAAACAGCAGCTTAACACTACTGTGTTTCGTATGGTGAGTGTAGAGAACTGGAGACCACTTTTTACCGGAAACGAGGCATTCTATCTTAGTCCTCACAGGTGTCAACGTATCTGCATTTGGAGTCCTAGTTGATGGATGGATAGATATCTATGGGCCACAGTAACTACTTACTATCAGGTGGACTGTGTGCTCTTTTACAACCTTTATCCTATAAAAAGGAACTCTCAGAGGTGACAATGCGTCTCTAGCCTTCTTTGTTTGAAGTCGGTTGTAGCTGCCCATGGGCTTTTTGTCACTTCAATATTATTTAAAGAAAACTACTACTACACACACCTACTAGCAATAGGAATACTATTGAGCTTTAATACCACTCCTATGGCTTAGTCACAATTTACTAAATTATGTAGTACTAGCTGTTCTCCGTGACTGTCCATGAGGAATTTATTACCGTTGGATATCATTGATTTTGATTATTTTGCGTGGAACACTAATTTTTTTTTTCTAAAATAAAAGTAGCCAGGTTACTCCTTACAACACCAGCTATCTGCCAGTGAAAGTCCCGTCAAAATCGGTCCTGCCAAATTGGAGATTAGCCGGAATAAACAAGACAGACCTACAACAATATTTAAAATTGGTTTTTTTTTTGTTATAAATACTGTATAAACTTTCATATGTATATAGTAAAAAGATGCTATTTTGACATTACAAACAGACACTTTAATTTAAGAATGTTATCTATTTATCAATAACAAATGTTTGGGGAAGAAAATTATTGTACTTAGATATAATATGTAAATTTTTAACAAAGAAGCATTACATAAAAAAGGCTTCCTGTAAGAAACATTTTTAAATTCATCTAAAAATCAAAGTATATGAAAGTGAAGTCCTTGAAAGAGCAATAATATGGACATTCAACTACCATACTAACGTGAGAAGATCGCGGGACATCTTCAAAACGAAGTACAACGACCTTTTACACTTGGAAGTAGTATTAAAAATAGCAAAATTAACTTCTGGGTAACAACTTAAAAACTTCTCTCTATAAACCTTATTCATATATCAGAGCGTGTCAAGTACGAACTATTTTACTTTATTATAGTAATAATGCATTACCTTATTCAATATGCGTAGTTACAGAGTTCTGCGAAGAGCGAATAATATTATGTTAAAATCGTGACGATAACGAGGATAATTTGTGAGATAACTTATCAAAACACTTTTACACTGTTGCACAACCGACTCCTGTAAACTGTATGGCTTCAAGCATGTCAATTATTTTCTCCAGGGCTCCAAATTAATATACACCTGTATTGAGCGGTTTCCAAGTCGAGGGACTGGCGGCAGCGAATTCCTGGAAATTTGACGTTTACACACACAAACACAGATGGATACAGGACACCAACGTATGAATATGAAAAAAATCTAGGGATGTGCGATGTGAATCGAAGTTATCGAATAGCTCGGTAGTAATTCAGTAAATATAAAGTAATAATGACTAAATCGAAAACGAATACACAAAACGTTTCACCCTTCTGTTTTATTAACTGTGTTCAATTGAAACGAAACCCCAAAATGAATAAAAAAATGTATATACTTATTAGATTATAACTCGAATAATAATTAATTGAATAACTAATTTTTGATTAGTAAATCTTTACTTCAGTAAGAATTAATTTTAATTAGAAATAACCTATTTTTGAAGTAAAATTTATAAATGACCATAAGATGTAATTGATTCTAGAATTATATTTTTAACCGTGTGCTTCAATTCATTTTCACCAATATATTGTAATAACTTGTAGATGGATCAAAAATTTTACCTTTAATTATCGTTAGAAAACATTCTAAATTATTTTGTTATCTAACTTCTTATTTTCAAGCTATTTTAGTTCCAAAGGGTACACCGATTATTGACGGGGTGGCGTTAAATGCAGTTGGTTTGAGTATTTCTATTATTTGAAGTGAAACTATCGGTCCATAGTATCCAATAAGGAAAAAATTCTAAAAGAACGGTAAAATCTTATCAACGCCGCTAGTAACGTGAAGGCTATTTCTCCACTCAGAAACTAAGTAGATGTAACCTTTAAGTTAAAAACACAGTCAACGTGCTTGGCATTATCCTAAAAGGAACTCTATATAAATAAAAAATGTGATATTTATTTTAGGTAAATATTCGAAAGCTATTTTTAAATATCTAACACAAGATTAATTTTCAATAGATGTCAAAATCGATATGTAATCGGTAGAAATATTGTTGATAATAATGACAAATTACAAATATACATCACTAAGGAACGCAATGAGGAATGCCAATTTTAGCAATGTCAATAACAAGAGTTCTGCATTTACCTGTTACTTTAATATTGTACATAATTTATCGTAATATTAACATAATTTAACATTACACTACACCGTTTCGAACTGAAAAACTAGAAGAGAAAAACAAATATTTCTATAAATAGCTATTGTAAATTCTTTTAAAAGGAGTTCATTCAATTATAAAGATGTATTGTGTAGCTTAATATTTACACTCTTACTTATGGTGTAGCTCTAGTTACTGCGTTCACTGTATTAACTCAAAAGATGCACGACACAAGGAATAAATATGTCTGTATATCCCTTCCCTTTTACTCAACCGATGTCTTTTTTGTGGTATTAACATTCGTTTCGGTGCTTGTTACCTGGTACTTATTACTTTATAATTTATGGTTAGAAGTTGGCTTTACTAATACTAGGCTAGGTAAAGTTAGAAACTTAAAAACTGTGCCATCTATTTCTGTTCCTTTGAAATAACAGATCCAGTAGCCTGTTCCAAAATAACAGGTTGTCAGCTTGCAACAAATTCCGATGTCTTTAAACTGACAATCCCTGTGACATTGGTCCTGTTACTGTAATTACTGTTGCTTGGAATTGCATTGTTAAACAATAAAGTTATTAGATATCTTTTTTTTACTATTGATAATATCTTGACTTAGCATAAATATATACTGCATCAGCTGCTAATACGGAAATAATCATAAACGTCCTTTTTTATTTTCTAGTAATTAACAATGCCTCATAGCTGTATTTTTTTTTACACATTTTTAACTTTTTAATTCTATTTATTTTAGGAACATCCATAATTTTGTTTATCCATTTCCAATCTAAATAATACAAAATATAACTAATAAATCAGAAAGAAACAATTTTCATTGCACTTTTCTAATAATTTAACTTTCCCGTCATGAGATCTGCCAAATAATTCACGTCAATTCAGTGGTGCCGTCCTGGCGGTAGGAAAAATCGTGAAAGCTCTGATTGTGTAGATTTGTTTAGGTTTTCCGATTTTATGGTAAGATTCAGAATATTTTCGTGTATCCAAATAAAAAACAGGCGATTTACAGGAGCAGGTGTTACAAATTAAATGTCTTTTCATTTTAAGTAACCTCCTTAAGCCAGGACATAATATAAGAGCTTGTTTTATGTTTTTGAATTTTGGTTGGTCGTGGAACCGGAACAGTAGCTTAGGCTTATACAAAACAGTTCCATCTGTTATTCTTAAGAACGTGTTATTTTTGCTGTTACGATAAATACACCGCACTCCTATTTCGGATTCATTCTGGAGAATAGAAAGAAACAACAATACCTAGATCCGAGTGGGGAGAAAAGAGAAAGAAGGTCGTGCGTGTGCAGCCAGTTGAGAGCTAAGTAAAGCGAGTCCAAATAAATTTTTCTACTATTATCATAAGACTCAATTTGGCTAGCGTAGTTCGATTATTTGGAGTAAAATCTTGTACTATTACATGGACGTTTTTTATACGTCCATGTACTATTATTTATTCTGTGGTAAAATTTTGAATTTTTTATCTTGATATATATTTTTTTAGATTATTTACCTACTTTTTAAATGATTATTTATTTATTAAAATTACAGGACCGTTACCGTTACAGCTTATTGGCTCATCAAAAGGTTACCGCTGAACTTAGAATGGAATAACCTTCAACTTTTAATTAGCCTTTTAATTTATAGCCTTTTTTATATGGGGCGGATACCCCTAATACCAGCCATGCCCCTAATACCAGCCACGCCCCTAATACCAACCATGCCCCTAATGCCAGCCATGCTCCTAATACCAGCCATGCCCCTAATACCGGCCTTGCCCCTAATTGCAGCCCCTTTTCGCCTTTTTTTTTCTTTTTTTCTTTTTTTTTTTAAAAAACGTTACCCTACACTAGGATTTTCTCCTGTATCGTGGAGGCAGTTTACAAACACAAATTGCACAAGGACAAACATCCAGACCCGGAACAATTATTTGTAGAACATACAAATACTTGTTCCGTGCGGGATTCGAACCCGCGCCCCCCAGCGCAGCAACTCATTGCTAAGCCACTGCACCACGGAGCCAGCTTTTTACTTCGTAAATAAGATTTCTAGTAGTCTTAACTACAAATCATAAATTGATGATAATCATCGCGCGATGACTTATCATTAATCTATGCTACAAATATTGTCACCTAAAAATTCTTCGTAACTAGAGGAAAGTATATTTCAAATATTACCTCACAGTTTTAAACCTAACAGTGTTAAATTGAAAATCAAAACACGTACGCAACGAAAAACGCTAATTTTCCTAATTTTTTGACAAGTTTTGATCCCGGTGAAATTATGCTTACTTTACATTATCTCATATATAGGCTTTTTTAATTTGTATGAATATGACTATAGACATAGTAATGCAGTTATTTTTGTTTAATTTACAAGTTATTTATTTTCTTTTAGTGGAAATTAATGGGGCTGTAATTAGATATACGAAATGTATGGAGTGCATAATGTCAGCCGCCCGGCTGTTACTTCACATGAGTAAAGAAACCGACTTACTATGTGGTTACTTGGTTTGACGTACCTAAATAAGAAGTACCTAATTTCAGCCACGTAATATAAATCAGGGCTGTCATAAACTGGAATAAATACGATTAATTAGATCATAATTTATTTTATAGTTAAGGGAGTTATGATCAATTCGGCTGTTTTAAAAGTGGTTTTAGATTTTAAAGTTTAGCAAAAGATGTTGTACTAGCTTTTCTATCTGACATTCAATGTATATTAAGAACATCTTATGAAGTATTCAATTATTTTTTGAGAAAGAAGAAATAACACGCAATAAATATAGTATATATACAAGCAAAAACTATAACTTAGTAATACTAATTATAACTTAGAACATAAATGAAAAACTCATGGACAAGGAAAGTGGTTTAGGACCAGGCTTTGCGGTAGTTTATGGCGGAGGATGTTCAGTAGTGGATTTGTGTAAGGTTGTAATGACGATGATGATTTGAAAACTTGGATGATTAAATTATTAGAAATCTATGTACTACATAATATTATATCATAATTTGCTTTAATTTATTGAACTGCTTTAAACTAAAACACAATAAGTTAAGTAGTAAAACATTAAAATAAAATAATGTTGTCGTCTGCCTTAATACATATTCCATGCTTGTGACATGCAGATTCAAAATTAAAAATTGTTACGAATTTATTACTTTGCCTCTAAAACTTATCTATAATAGGTACCGACCAAAAACTCAAAAGGCATAACCCTATGCTATGCTGACATTAGGTACACAAAAGGACGACATTCGGTTCAGGGTGGCTGGAATTTGAGCCATTACGCCTTTTTTGCTTATCGTCATTTTTAAAATTGTTCTTGATATAATATGATTGTAAATAAATGTTCATTAGATTTGTCCATAAATAACCTATCTATTAATATAAATGTTTAAAAATATTGTGTCCTAATTAAAATAATAGGAATTTTTAAAGTTGAAATTGCCACTAAAAGGCTGGTAATAAGGGCATCCACCCTAACTCGGCCAAACACATCGCGATAAAACTTTGCTTTCGGCCTAGCGCGAAGGCCAAATTACGCGTTATAAATTTTATCGCGTTAAGCATACGCTAAAAACAAAATGGACCCCACGTTCGCTCTGTATTATGTCTCCTCTACACTACTCGCACAGAGTACTTTTATACTACTCGCGATCTCGCGAAGTAATCGTGAAGTAACTTGCGATCGACTTCGACGAAGTGCTCGTCGACGTCGAAGTCGATCGCAGTCCGAAGAACGTCACACGAGGGCGAAGTCGCTGAGAACAACTAGTTTATTATATGTATAGATGCATAAATATAGATTCCCTTATTTACTGACAAATAGAAAAAAAAACCTTGACAAATTCAAACTGGCAGTTGACATTAAAATGGCAGTATTATTTCAAAATTCTTGAGTGTTACCTATTTTCAATAACATTTAACACACATTAAAACTCAAAATAATAAAAAATAGCCCCTTAGAAACATATGCAGTTATGGATAAAACTAATTCACGAAAAATAAATGCTAAGTAAGTTAATATTTTATCAATAGAATTGTA